GTTCAAACAAACGCTCGCTCGGTTATAAAGGTCACAAGTTCCGACTTCGATCAAATTGCCTAAAGGCCTCGAACCTATGAAAACATTCATAAGGCATGTATGAAACAAAATCTTCACAAGGCAGAGAATAAAACAGAGACAGGTCGGGAAAGGAAAAGATTTCTTTTGTACATATAAGAGTATTTACAACGTCCGATCAGGACCCTACATAAAAAATCAAAATGAAAAAAACCCTAAGTTTCCTGGTTATCCCCGGGGGCAGTCTCTTCTCCATCGGGCTCCTCCCCGCTCTCAGACCCACTCTCACTCCCATCATCATTGTCATCATCATCAGAAGCCAAGGCTCCGGCATCGACTTCAAGCTCTTTGGCCTTTTTTATCTCTTCGGTAAGATCAAAACCTCGGGCGTAGATCTCCTCGAGGGTTTCCCTCCGAGATTGGCATTTGGCGAGTTCAGCAACCCAATATGCTCGAGTTTGAGTGGTCTCGGCTGCCTTTTTCACTTGTACTTGAGCGGCTTCAGCATCGGACCGATAGACGGCCACAAATGCATCCACCTCGGCCTTATCTTTTTCGACTTCAGATTTGGCCTTGGCAAGTTCGGAAGCCAACCGAGCCTCGAGCTCCTCTATATTTCTTGCTTGAACTAAGCTCTTCTCCTTCATGCCTTGGAGTTGACTTTCGGAGATCCATGCCTTCTTTCCACCCCAAGGTCTCCGCCCTTATCGTATCAACCTCCTCACGAAGCAGCCCGATCACCTCAAGCTTCTGCTGCAACTGTGAGATCGAAATATTAGCCACCATTCCCGAATCAAGCCCATGAGTTTTTAAGATTATTATTACTTACTCGGTCAGGTCGGTCTGATCTTGGTATGCCTTGGCCAACTCGGCTCGAAGATCTTTGATCTCTTCCTCTTTCGCCCATTAAGAAGTTTGAGGGCATTTCTCTCCTCCAAAAGCACTCAGAAGTCGGCCTTACGTCGGCTCAGCTCTGCCCGAGATTTGGAAAACTCCTCTTGATAAAGATCTAAAGCCTATTCGAAAAAGAGAAAAAGTTAGACACAAAATAGAAAAATAAGACATCAACAAAGGGAATCGAGACTTACCCGATTCAGGGCTCGTTGAACCTCGAAGAAAAGACCCGACGCATCACTCGGGTCGGCAGTATCCTCGATGCCGGTAAATAAATCACGAAAGGGGTCCTCACCCTCATGGGCCCCAGCTACTTCGAGGGTCCCTAAAGCTCGGGCTTCCCGAATTACCCTTTCAGAAAAAGCGGGGAGAGTAGGCGAGTCTCCGATTACTATTGCCCCAAGCGAGTCGCTTGGGGCATTCTCCTCAGTTCGAAGAGATTCAGGGTCGGCCCCTTCTGATATACCCACCTATTGATGACTTCGGTGGGAGGCATCATCGATCTCCAATGACTCGGAGACTTTGTCCGAGTCCTTCTCCAATATCCGCCCAGTTCGAGATGGAGCCTCATCAACTGCCATCGACCCAGCTGCCTTTAGGGAATCAATGGTTTTTTTCACTCGGGCCACCAATATGGACCCGTCTTTTTCTTCTTCTCCTTCATCTTCATCCCTTATATGCCGAACAGATTCTTCGGTCAAAAGGATGATGTTCTTCCTCGGCTTACGAGCCATCCTCGTCTTAAGCTTTGGATCCTCGGCAGTAGAGGCCCTTTTTCTCTTATTATCCTTCGCCGGTTTCGGAACCAGGGCCGAAGTCTCTTCCTCACCAGACGAGGGCCTCATGACTGCGTCTTTTCCTAGCCATGCACACAAGAAAATTGGTTAAGTATAGGAAGTCATTTTGTTCAAATCATCGAAGACATGGAAAAGAGGCTTACTATGATTTTTAGCCTCCTATCGGCCCTTTGATAAGTCGTGCCACAAGCGCTCGACATATATGGAGGTCGAAGCCAGGTCCCGAACCCAGCTCTTAAGGTTAGGAATGGCACCGGGCATCCAAGCAACTGCTGCATCGCAAAAAGAATGCCGGTGAGAAAGAACTGTAGGGCAAGACAATAGGAACTAACGGTAGAATTATACTTACGCTTCATGTTCCATTCCTCGAAAAATGGCATCTTCTCGGCCGGGATTAGGTCCGAAGTCTTCATTCGAACGAATCTGCCCATCCAGCCTCGGTCCTTGTCCTCGTCTATGCTCGAGAACATCACTTTAGTAGCCCGGCGCTGGAGTTTTATTAACCCACCTCGATAGAGGCGGGGGATGTAGAACCTAATGAGATGGTCGAGGGTGAAAGACATCCCCTCGACTTTGTTCACGAAGAAGCTAATCAGAATAACGATCCGCCAAAAAGAAGGGTGAATTTGGCCTAGAGTTACTTGGTATTGGTGGCAGAAATCAATGACAACAGGATCGAGGGGGCCCAACGTGAAAGGGTAAGTGTACACACTTAGAAACCCTTTTACATAAGTAGTAATATGTTCTTCGGGAGTCGGGATTATCACTTCTTTTCCCACCCAGTTGCAATCTTTCCTTAGCTATTCAAGATGGCCCTCGGTTATTGAGCATATGTACCTCGATACTGGCTGGCATCGACCGGGAACCGGTGAAGCTTTGTCGATCTTAAAATCAGAGATAATAACACAGACCCCGGGAACACACTCCTCAGGCCGTGGCTCCACCTATGTTTTATCGCCGACGGGCCGCGAAGAAGAAGCTTTTTCTTTCTGTGGAGAGGTTTTTGACATTTTCGCCATTGGGATTTAAAGATTGAAGATAGAGGAATATGGTAAGATTTGGCGCTCTAAAGAGGGATTTTGTAGTGAAAATCACAAAATTCACAGATGAAGAACTTAGAAGATTTGGAGATATAAAAGTAAGAAGTGGTAAAAAGATGGGTTATTTATAGGGTCGGCAATGACGGTTCAGTATCAATAATGGCCGACCATCGTCTGACACACATTTAATGCCTTGGTAAACTGAACTGACGGCACATCTATTACGTACGTCACGGTCGGGCTCGGTGCAAATGTCAGTTTGTATCGAGTCATACCGCTTGAAAATCATGTCGTTTCTCGTCACATTCTTCCCAAAAAAAGGGGATTATCTATTTACGAATAAAACCGATTTCAACCTTCGTATGATTAGTCTAAATTGGAACATAATGGACCGAAGGTCATTTTCGTAATATCGGGTATTAGACCCGAAGCTAGGTTACCGAGCTCTAATTTCTGGGACCGATCAAATACCGAGCTCGAAGTCATTACCGATCCCGAGCCCGAGTCCAAATCAAACTATGAAGTGAAGCGGGGTTATCGAGTTTAAAAGCCAGAGACCGACCAATATCTAGCCTGATTGGGTACCGAGCCCCGAGTCAATATCGAGATCGAATTAATATCGAGCTCTAAACCTGAAAATCAGCCAGTACCAAATCCGACCAAGATCGAGCCAGGAGACAAGAGCCGTTACAACCGCACTAAGAGAGAGAATCTCGGCGGGAATTAGAAAAAAACTAATTTATCATGGGATCCCCTCTATGTATCTTTAATTATATCTAAAGTAGGATTCCTCCACTATAAGAGAGATATCTATTATTTTGTAAAGGAGGAGATTAAGACTTGAATACACTCTCATATTAATATACAGAAAAAAACATACTGATATCCATATAGAGATTATCCTCTTGTAAGCTTTATATTTTGATTCTTGTGAGCTTTATACTTAGATTCATCTTGCTTGTTCATAAACTAGTTTTCTATTCAATTTGGTTTGTATTTAATTCTTATACAGTCGATACTCAATATGTTTCTACTTACTCTCCGATTTGTGTCAAGTTATACCACGTATCTTTAGAATTACGTATAAATTCAACTATATCCGTTTTTTGGATAAACAAAAAGGTAAAAAATTAGAAAGGCAAAGCTGCAATGCCAATGCATATTCACCACTGAAAGTAAGAATATCATCAACTGATATCTTCATTTCTTCTCCCCCAATATGCACATATATGAAAATTAGACACAATTAATGATGTCAATATAGCTGTCACTGCAAGTTGAGAAATCTGAGCGACTTTAATTTGAGGATCTGGAAGTGGAATAGTTGGCAAAGTTTCTTGGAATTAATAATCATAATCACAATTTACTAGCAAAATCCATCTGAAGCATCTAGGAGTAATTTTTTGTTATAATCTTATAGTCAATTGTAGATTTGGCAATGGGATGGATTAAACTTTTTGCGAGGTAAAGCCTCAGCAGAGTGACACACCCCGTTGCCATCTCTAGTCAATAGTCAGCTGCTGCAAAAGATAATAGTAGCACATTGAAAAAGTATTTGTGAAGCCCATCTCCTTGTTGACCGGCCAAAGATTGACAAAGAGACACATATGTTGGAATTTATAATAGTTTTCTTTCCTTAACTGTACACAAACCAGAAGGTGCATATCCTAGAAAAGCAACAGCTAATAGAAACAAAAAGGAATCCAAAGATTTTGTTAGAAGTGAAAATAAATGCAGCATGGCAACGAAGCAGTCTCCTGTTAGCTTTCGGACCTAACAGCATTCACTGGAGTTGCACATTTTCTAGAAGTTCAGAATTTTCAGTCAATAATAATTTGAGATTCAATATTCACTTTTACACAGTTTGTGAATCATATACTAAGGCATTAAGTCATAAGGAACTTTTTTTTTTAGTATAACAAGATGAAGCTAAACTTTGAGATATAATAATTGAATGAAATACCCAGAACCTGCAGCAACTAGGAAGATGCAAAATCTTAATAAAGTATTTTCATTTTTCAAAGCACAGAATATTGTGTCTGGAAGTCGTAGTGTCCCATATTATATTCATGCTTTACTCGTAGAACGGATCTACGAACATGATTCGCTTTCAAACTTTAGTAAATAAATTGAGAAATCATTGTTATAGTCAAAGTTGGCTGCTGATTGGAGGTCAACAGAATGGAAGAAATTAAATGTGATGCGCCTTCTACTGAGCAAAGATTGAAAAAGAGACCCACTCTAATAGAAACTGACTTATGGAGCAAAAATACAATTGCAGAAATCACTTTGGACTTCTGTATAAAAAAAATTTCTGCAACTGTACCCAACAAAAAGGTCATATCTCCAAAAAAGGCACAACAGCAAGCACTAGACTTGCTTTTGGCTTCGTTTAGAAAGCAATGATTGCAGAATGGAGACTGAATTTTCCTGTCATTCTCTTCGTTTATCTCATTTTCTCTTCGTCTCAGTTCGCTATATCCAAACAATCGTGGAATATCAATGTCAGTCTTTGGAATTCCACCGCCAGAGTTCCCACTTTCTGGATCAATAATCCTTACGTTAATCGTAATTATTCCACCACAGACTTCTCCGCCATTACACCCATCCTTCTGAGTGGAAAAGATTCTGGCTCTCAGTTCCTCTGTGGCTTCGTCTGCAATTACGAAGTCACAGGATGCCTTCTTGGTACCCTCTTAGTACTCTACAACAGCACCGCTATTGAGAAAAAATATACTATACTTTACCCCCAGTTAGTTTGGTCTGCTAACCGAAACCATCCAGTGAAAGCCAATGCAACCTTACAACTAGGCCGAGATGGTAATTTGGTCCTGGCAGACTCTGATGGTACTCTTGTTTGGTCCACTAATACAACTGGAAAACCTGTTTCAGGCTTAAACTTGACAGAGATGGGAAATCTCGTGCTCTTTGATAAGAGAAATCGCGCAATTTGGCAGTCGTTTGATCATCCAACGGATTCTTTGCTTTCAGGTCAGGATTTGGTTTCCGGTCAGAAGCTTATAGCAAGCATTTCAGCATCCAATAGGAGTCAAGGTTTCTTTTCGCTTACTATTCTCAACGGAAGCCTTGTGGCGTACACAGATACTAATCCACCTCAGTATTACTACGCTTCAGATTATACGAACGATACTGGTTTAAGTTTTGACGGTCACACCCTTAGTCTTGCGTCTACTTTTGCTCAGTTCATGAAGCTTGAGCATAATGGACATTTACGGCTATACCAATTTGACATATATGAGCTTGATTGGAAAGTGATATCTGATGTTTGGACATCTGAATCTGATGTAGGAAACTGTGGGTACCCAATGGTGTGTGGAAGATATAGCATATGTACAAGTGACGGGCAATGTAATTGTCCGTACGAAGGGAACTTTTTCAGGCCATCTATCGGTAGAAAAACAGATCTTGGATGTACGGCGTTGACACCCATAACTTGCGACTCTTTGCAGTACCATAGTCTTCTAGAGCTCAGCGACACCAGATATTTTGCATTTGATGTCAACTTTCAACTGAATTCAAGCATATGGTTCGAGGGGATAAAGTTGGAAGATTGCAAAACGGCTTGTCTGAGTAACTGTTCTTGCAAAGCTGTTGTTTGGGATGGGACTCGAAGGAAAAACTGTTTATTATTGAATGAAGTATTCTCAATCATGGATAACGGGGAGGGAAGAGACAAGACCACAGTGTTTCTTAAGGTGCAGAATCAGTCACCAATCATTTCTGGAGGAAAGCAATCAAGACCTGTCAAAGTGATACTAGGATCTACTCTTGCAGCTCTCGTGGGGATAATCTTAAGTATCACTACTTGGTTTATACTTTTCAAAAAGAGGTCACAGTCCAGCAAGGTTGGGGATTTTCTGGATATAGAACCACTGTTACCGGGAATTCTAACTCGATTCTCTTACAATGAGCTGAAAATACTTACAGAAGATTTTAGCAAAAAGCTCGGGGAAGGAGGATTTGGCTCTGTATATGAGGGAACACTGAGTAATGGCACCAAAATAGCTGTGAAACATCTGGATGATCTAGGTCAAGTAAAGGATTCATTTCTAACAGAAGTAAACATAGTTGGTGGCATTCACCATGTCAATTTGGTAAAGCTCATTGGATTTTGTGCGGAGAAAAGCGACAGGCTTCTGATCTATGAGTACATGGTAAATGGATCGTTGGATAGGTGGATTTCTCATGAAAAGAAAGAAAATAGGCTTACATGGAAGACAAGGCAAAGTATAATATCAGATATTGCCAAAGGATTAGCTTATCTACATGAGGATTGCAGCCATAAGATAATTCATTTGGACATTAAACCACAAAACATCCTTCTAGATCAGTATTTCAATGCTAAGATATCTGATTTTGGGTTGTCGAAGCTAATTGAGAAAGACAAAAGCAAAGTTTTGACTAGAATGAGAGGAACACCAGGATATTTAGCCCCTGAATGGTTGAGCTCGGTAATCACTGAGAAAGTTGATGTGTATGCCTTTGGAATTGTGCTCTTGGAAATTCTCTGTGGGCGAAAGAATTTGGATTGGTCCCAAGCTGATGAAGAAGATGTCCATTTGCTAAGTGTCTTTAGGAGAAAAGTGGAACAACAACAGCTCACGGATATGGTGGACAAAAACGACGAGGATATGCTGCTCCACAAAGAAGCAGTGACAGAAATGATGAGCATCGCTGCATGGTGTTTACAGGGCGATTTCTCCAAGAGGCCTTCCATGTCATTGGTGGTTAAGGTACTGGAAGGTTTGGTGACTGTTGAAACCGACTTAGATTATAATTTCACTAACATACCTGAAGTTAGGGAAGGCAACCAACAGAGGGAAGCCACTATCAGTTCAAGATTTCCTTCAGTTTTATCGGGACCAAGGTAAACAATATGCTTAAGATTTTTAGTCTTTGAAAGAACCAATTTATGGTTGTGTAATGTCAATATTGCAAGATTTTCAAAGCATTACGTTTTATGGTGTATAAGATTACAATTCTTGAAATGTGTTAGGATCGGGAATCTGGGCAGTGCGTATTCGGTCAAAGTGACCTACGTCCACAAGCGGAGAGGAGCAATTTCACTATACCAACAAGAGTACAAAAGAAAGTACAAAATTAGAGTAAATACTCTAATTAATCCCAAATACCCTAAGAGAATGACCTCACAAGATCACTCCAAAGAAAGGGTTCACACAAGTGCTTCCCAACACTCAACTCTCATACAAACACTCTTAATAAAGGAGTAAAGGAAGAAACAAGAAATGAAGACTCAAGCCTTGTTGGTGTATTTAAAATGAACTAATGTCCTTTCCTTTTATAAGCAAAAAAGTCTTGGCCTCTTAGTTGTAAAAGAAAAGATACAACTTGTGCAAATGATATCCACCGCACAATTCAATATTTTTGAGTCCCAAAGAATATTTCCAACAAAGTCTATTTTGCAAATATACTTACGTGAGATGGACTCCATTAGTCAAAATATTGGCCATATTACAAAATGTAATATTGTTTTTGTAACTTCTGCATTAGATTTTTGAACTTCATGTTACTATCATGTAGAGGCTCCTCAATTCGTATGCGATAGGAGATAAAATAGTGTGGTGTTGCAGCTACTGAACGTGTGTTCTAAGTGCTGACATTTGCATTAGGGACTTCAACTGGTAGTGTCCAGTAAGCTTTATTCTGATATGCTATCGGAAAAGAGCCACAAAGCAAATGATATCCATCACACAATGCAATATTTTTGGGTTCCAAAGAATATTACCAACAAAGTCTACTTTGCAAATATTCTTATGTGAGATGGACTCCATTAGCCAAAATATTTGTCATATTTGCCAAAATATTTGTCATATTACAAAATATTGGTTGATATAGTAAATTTGCTCCACCCTCTCCGCAAAATCCCGAATGGGCATATGTCAAAATTTAAGGCCATCAAAATCAGACAAGTTGTCTGATTTCGAAACTGTAGTAGGGCCTATAACAGTGGATCCCAATAAAGTATACAACGAACCAGATCTGTGTGCTTTAATGATCATAAGAGCACCTTGAAAAATTTTCAGAACTCCACCTTCACCAGTGAATTTGCACCCAAGAGATTCTAAAGTGCCCAAAGATATGAGATTTTTCTTCAAACTCAGGAACATATCTAACATCGGTGAGAGTTCTCACCACACCATAGTGCATTCTGATCGGAATTGTACCTTTTCCAATAACGTTACAAGTAACATTGTTACCCAGTTGGACAACTCCACCTGCAACAGAATCATATGTAGAAAACAAGTCCCTGCTAGGACACATATGATATGAACAACCGGAATCTAAAATCCACTCATTATCTGATCTGAAACTAGTTTCAGTTGCTAAAAATATAGTTCCCTCAATCTCATCAGTTGCTACACTAGCTTCGGCGGTGTCAGTATTTTTGTGCTCATTTTTTCTTTGTTTATGCTTTTCTTTATTTTTAGTTTATAGCATTCAGAGATAATGTGACATTTCTTATGACAATAGTGACACTCTAAATTATTGTATCTGGATATGAAGTCGGATTTTCTCCTAACAAACAAGCTAACTTTCGTTTGAGTTCCACTAGCTTCCCCAGTAATATCACTATCTATCTGTTCTTTTGATTTTAAGATAAATTTAATATCCTTATAAGAGATATTATCCTTTGCAGTATGCCTTATATGCTTAAAAGATAGGGATAGATAACAAAGCAGTAACACGGCTTGATCCTCATCTTTAATTTCAGCATCTATATTACTCAAATTCATAGGAATGGAATCAAATGTGTCAAGATGAGAGAGAATAGAGGTACATTTACCCATACGAATTGTATAAAGCTTTTGCTTAAAGTAAAGCCTATTTTCCATCGTCCTTTTCATATATAAAGTTTTCAATTTTCCCACATGCCTTTGGTTGTACTTTCTTCAGAAACTTCACGTAAAACCTCATTTGAGAGATTTAAAATGATATATGGTTTTGCCCTTTTATCTATGACGGCAAACTTCTCATCCGTCATTTTATCCGACTTCTTCTCTGTTCCCTGCAACGCCAAATCTAAGCCATCATAAATTAGAATAGCTTCCATCTTTAGTTGCCACATTCCGAAATTTGCACTTTGATCAAATTTCTCAACATAAATCTTTGTTAAAGTCATATTGGCTACTAAAACAAACCCGGTTAGTTCCGGCTCTGATACCAATTTGTTAGGATTGGGAACCTGAGTAGTGCGGAATTTAGCCAAACAACATTATAATGACAATAACAAATACAATGCAAGTTGATACTAACGGCAATTAAAGCATATAAATAAGACACAAATTTAACGTGGTTCGGTCAAAGTGGCCTACGCACACCAGAGGAGAGCAACAATTTTACTATACCAACAAGAGTATAAAATTAGAGTAAATACTTTAATTAATCCCAAATACCCTAAGAGAAGAATCTCACAAGATCACTCCAAAGTAAGGGTGGCATGTGGGCCGGTCCCGAGCCTAAGTGGATCGGTCCAAATGGTCCCGGGCCGGTCCCAATTTAAACGGGCCAAACGGTCCCGGTGGTCTTTTTGTAGGAACCGGCCTAGGACGGAGCCCACGAACTAATGGTCCCGGGCTAAACGGTCTCGACCCACGGGCTAAGTGGGTCCAATAGATACTTTTTTATTTTTAAAATTTTATAAAAATTAGAGAAAAAAAGATGTTAATAAAAATATCTAAGGCAATTCCTTGTAAATTTTATTATGAATTGTGTCCTAAATTTTTTAATTCAAATTTAAAGACAAAAATATTGTAAAGAGATATTCAAAGCATTGCATTATAATTTTATTATATCATTAAAAAATATGCCAATATCTTTCTTCTTCTTCCTCCCCCTTATGGAATGAGCACAACAAGGTGCTAATACCACTATTGAGAAGAAAAAGAAACTAATCAAGATGTGCCAAAATACAAGTTACATAATACATACTATTTTTTGTTCATACAAGTTACATGGTATCTCTTACAAACTTCATAAATCCATTAAGGTCCGGAGGAATTTTCGTTGGTGGTGGCGGAAAAGAAGCTTGGTCATCACCGCTTCCGGGCGAAGCAGAATCCTCCGCAAGTTCAGCTAGCATTTCTTCGTAAGCTTCGTCTATCTCTAGTTGTGATTCAGTAAGTCCAAATTTTTTTCTTTCCGAACGAATCCAATCTCTGAAAAGTATTGATTTTTCCAACCTCTCCCTCACAGACGCTCTATAATCACCGAGTTGAAGTCTTGCTTGGCTGAAAGCGCTCTCCGATGCCACTGTTGAAGCTTGAATAGTTAAAATGTCTCAGGCCATCCTTGAAAGAACCGGAAAGTATTTTTTTTTTTGTCCTTCCATCGTTCCCTGTGACAAATAAACTTCAAACTCATTTAATTGTGAAAAATCACTACTAATAGAACCTTGAGAACCCCTAAACCCCGTCCAAGCACTAAGTGCTCTTACTCCCACAGTTCTTTTGGATGATTGAGAATAAGAAGAAGAAGGAGTTGGAATATTTGGTCTAGCATGATCTAATGCAACTTGATAAGCATTATAAATAGTTTGAGCATTTATTCTAATTGAGGCTATTGCTTCCGAAAGTTCAGACAACTCCGCATCTTCAAGTGCTAAACCTTTATAAACAGTTTCATACCAAAATGGAGGACCTCCTAATTTCATACAAGGATTTAACAAAGCAGCAACACCATAAATAGGGGGAATAGGGAAACAAATATTTTTTAAATATTTTTCTCATAAAATTAATAGCAAGTTTATAAATTTCCCCACCCTCTGAAAAATGAGCAAACAAATTTGCATGTTCTGCAATATAAACTAAACAGTTAGAAATAATAGGATATTATTGCCCAGAAAATTCATTTGTAGCAATATAAAATTTTTCTAAAAAATCTACAAGCATTTTAACATTATCCCAATCCGCATTTGTAAGGTGCTCATCATCATCACTTACATGAGCATTAAACGTTGAGTTTATGGGGTTTCTATATTCATATGCAACAACTAAACTTTCATACATGTAATTCCATCTAGTTAGACAAGGTTTAGGAACTTTTCTTTCTCTTAGGCCAAATTCATCCCATCTTTTAAAATATTCTCTAAGTCTACTTCTACGGTTTGAATAAAAAAGCCAGTTAAGAGCCATTTTAATCTTTTCAATTTCAATATTTAAAATTCTCATACCATTACCCACAATTAAATGGTAAATATGACAAATACCTCTAACATGAAAAATATTACTAAATGCAGAACTTAGTGTAGTGGTAAGCAAGGCTACAACATTTGTGTTACTAATAGAATTCACTACTAGAAATTCGGCAAAAACCGACCAAGGTCGACCGACCAACTTTGGTCGGTCAAAAAAAGACCAACTTTGGTCGGTTTTCTTTGGCGCAAAAATGCGGGAAACTATTTTTGAGTCCCGCAAAATTTATTTTTCAAGAAACCGACCAACTTTGATCGGTTTTTTAATTAAAATAAATAAAAATTAATATTAAAAAAACGACCAAAATTGGTCGGTTAATTCGGCCGGTCATTTAAAAAACCGACCAACTTTGGTCGGTTATTTTCGTGCGAAAATACAATTAAAGAGTATAAATCAAATAAAAGGCAGTCTTAAAATAAAATGCACATATGATCTAGTGGTAGAATAGTATCCTGCCACAATACAGACCCCGGTTCGATTCCTAGATGGTGAATCTTTTGATTACATAATTAAAATACCGACCAACTTTGGTCGTTTTTTTTTTGCAATATTTGTTTTTTGAATTTAATTGACCGACCAAAAGGTCGGTCGGTAATTTCCGACCAACTTTGGTCGGTATTCCTTTCCGACCCCTAAAATACCGTTCACACGTAAATGGTCGCGTTTTGGTCGGTTATTGTCCATTACCGACCAACTTTAATCGGTTTTTTTGGTCGGTTTTTACCGGTTTTCTAGTAGTGATTATCCATTGAAACTGACATTATTTTATCACTAATGCAAAAATATCTACAAATATACGTAACTGTGCTAGCAATAAACTGCCATGTGTGACGTGAATTAATTATTTTATAAGCAATAATGCGCTTTTGCATT